AAATATCACAGCTTAGTGAATTCACGATCTTGAATAATTTAAATTTCCCGCTCATTATGCAAAAGCAAATTTCCTCCTAAAACTCGCTAAATTCGAATCAAATTTTGCACTGAGATACACGAATATCACAGCCAATTGACAGTAAAGCAATTTTCCTTTTAAAATTTACCCTCGTATTTAAAAACAAAATTATCCTATTATGCAAAGGCAAACCTCTTCTTCTTAAAACTCGCTAAATTCGAATCAAATTTTGCCCAGATATGCGCGAATATCACAGCCAATTGACAGTAAAGCAATTTTCTTTCCAAATTTACCCTCGTATTTAAAAAAAAAAATAGAAAAAAGGAAGACCAATTCCTAAAGATTACCTTGTAATAAGACTTGAACTTCGGATGAGTTAAGAGGTTGTAAATCGCTTATACAACGATCAAGATCACACTTGTAAGGAGTGGTTGTAGGGTTGTACGGAATAATTGGCAAGAAAATCAATCAGTTACCAACCGGTCTAATTGCCCGATCGTTAATGGGGACAACGGTTCGTTACGTGTGATGGGTAATTAAGCGACACCCAGTGGTGTCCGGGCCTCGAGAATTCGACTGCTTGTAGAAACGATAAATCTTGACCGCCTGCACGCTCCACGTGCTCGTTTTGCTGGACGTTCAACCGATGTTACGCCAGTTTTGATTAAACGCGGGTTAATCGTTTCTGGATGAACCGGTGAGATAGGCTATTTATAATGGCTCTTAGCGTGAACGTCTCTCGTAGCTGGTGGCATACTTTCGACGTATGGAAAGGGACGGTGAAAATTGTTGGTTAATATTGGAGTATTTGGATCGAAAGTAAAATGGTCGTTACGATTTCCTTTTTTTCCCTTCTCACTTTGTAGTGTGCAGTTACACGTATTCGTTTGAGTTGTTGTTTGGTATGACACGATTTCAATTGGATTCTGCTAAATACAGTGTTTGTTGCAATCTTTGTAAATGATTTCTGTTTTCTCCAAATTAAATTCTAATTTAAAACAGATTCTCTCTTTTATGAAATTAAATTCAAATTTGAACAGATTTTCTCTTTTATGAAATTAAAATAAAATTTTCTGTTTTCTGAAATTAAATTCAAATTCAAAACAAATTTTGTTACTTTTTTAAATTCAATACTGGTAGGATTGAAAAGAACATTCTGTACGTTTTTCCACTGTAAGAAAAGGCGAGGTTAATTTTGTGAAATAAAAAATTTATATTCTACACATTTTTATTGTCTCTTTTCGAAGATAATAATAATTTTATTCCAGACGAGATGGTTTTACATTATTCACTGTTACAGTATCGTTAAATTTCTTCTTGAGAAATGTCTAAGTTCATCTGGAAACTTTCCACGGTGTTATTTTTCTTATAGATATTCTGCCTCGTTAGTGTTATTTCAACCATACGACATAATTCCACTACGTTTCCACGGATTATATACTTATTAGATATGTATACTCGCGGACCTTGAAATTATCTGTTAGTTTATTGTGCAGATAACATGGCGGACTGCCAGCTTGCGAATATTTTGCAAGCTTGTTAATTGCTCTCGTAACGATCGCGCAGACATTCGCCGCATAGTTTCCATCGCGTGCTTATGGCCTTCCGATACAGAGACAGAAATTTATATCAACGGTTAATTACGTGCACTCGCGTTCTCTTCCTCGTTTCTAAACGCCGTTCAACATTCGTTAAACTCCATAGAAAACGTATGTCGGGGGTAGTAATTAAGGGTTCGTTAATTCGAACGGAAGTGGTTATGTTTACCGTCGACGATGGGTTACCGTTCGAAGAGAGCATTTGAAGACATGAGTTAGACCAAGGGAATTACGATTTCAGATTTTTAATTTTAATTTTCATATTTTCAAAGTTTCAATCTCTCAAACACTCAAATTTCCAAACTTTCAAAGTTTCATATTTTCAAATTTCCTGTCTCTCAAACTCTCAAATTTCCAAATATTCAAACTCTCAAACTTTCAAAGTTTCATATTTTCAAAGTTTCAATCTCTCAAACACTCAAATTTCCAAATTTTCAAAGTTTCATATTTTCAAATTTCCTGTCTCTCAAACTCTCAAATTTCCAAATATTCGAACTCTCAAACTTTCAAAGTTTCATATTTTCAAATTTTCCATCTCTCAAACTCTGAAATTTTCATGTTTTCATATTTCCATATTTTCAAGCTTTCATATTTTCAAATCTTCAAACTCAAACTCTCAAATTTTCAAAAGTTTAAATTTTCAAATTCTTAATTAAAGAGTTCAATTTTTAATTTCACAAACCTCTATTTCTAATACAAAATACAACAAATTGAGGACAGGGGGCACGAACATTTTCAGGCAAACCTGAAGATTGATTCAACTGGTTGAAACAAAGTGATGATTCCATTTACATAATCATTACATAATTAAAACAAGAAGAATCTAATAGCACATCAAGTATCCTTGACGTAACTAGTGTTCCATAATTCATAACTGTCACTTCAGATATTATTCAAACCGATACTTATCTCCAAGCGTTTGCACATCGACCTCCAAGCAACAACTTCAAAATACAAATTCTACTAACAAAAAATCCCTGTAACCTTGTCCAAAATCCAAGAACAATAATAAAAATAAAAAAATAAAAAAAAGGAACAACTATACAGCAATGATTAAAACATCACACAAACATCAAACAACAACAAACAACTAAATCCTCCTAACAATAAAAATCAACATCTGCACTTATCTCATCAATCACTCTCCCAATCTCCCTGTCAAAAAGATCCCAAAAAAATAAAGCAGAATATCAAGCGGAATTAAAAGAAGCCACGTAAAAAAACCACGCTCATTTGATATCACACAGTCTCCGTTTCACGACCGCCACCTGTCTGTACGTGTATACACAAAGGGTCCCCGGGGCAGTCGCGCTGGCGTGCGCGCGCGCGCGCCTCCGTATGAAACATGCGCGCCACGAGGTAAAGCCGCCAGTGCTATTCGTCGTCGCAGTGCGATACGGTCGATAGAAGAAAACGTGGCCGACAGTCTCCGGTGGTTGCAGCTGCCGCAGACACCGTCGCGACGCCTCCCGTCGTTTCCCTTCTTCCATCACTCACACGTCGTCTGTTCTGCCCCTGTTTCAAACGAATTTTCCCGGAATCGCCCTTCGACTTGCCTCTCTCTCTTTCTCTCTCTACCCTCCGTCCCCGCCCCTTCGGAAGGACTCCAACGTCGAGGGTGGCATACGCACGACCACGCTTCATTCCGTCTCGGGATGCCGCGCGTACGACATCATGACGCAGAAACGCTCAGATAGGATTCCCGTGAACATGACGAGGTAATCAAGTGTCCCGAGGGGTTGTCACGAGCAAGTACCGAGGGTTGGGTTTTTATCGCGGAACGATCTGAGTGCCTGTTTTTGATTCGCGTTCGGTAGACGATGGTTTTATGATATTTGATTTATTTTGGATTATTTGTTTGTTTGTTTTTGGGGGGGGAGGGTAGGTGAAAATTGGTGCAAGACGGATGTTGGATCGAGGATTATTCGGGGGAAATTTTGAGATTGTTTGGGGTGCTGTGTGCACCGGGAGTCGCCGGTAGTAAATGTTATTACTTGGAGGAATAATTTTTATCGATTGGAGCATATATGTGAAGCGTGCGCGCCTTATCTTATCGCGGTACTTGGAATCTTTTCTTGAACTCCGTCTTGCCTGTCTTTTTCGGGGTCACGGATGGTACAGTGAGCTTATTTACTGCTTTGATAGTGTAACGGATAAAACAGGAATTTGTGTGACAGATAATCTTCGATTTTGCAAATCAATTTAGGAGTTTGTACAAATTAACGTTTTTTAAGAATATATGTTGTACAAGGGAGTATATTGATTTACAATTAGTAACTAAAGCTTTCTAGTTGACTAGAATTTCAGAAATTTTTAATCTACATAGTAATATAGACGAAGAAATTAATTATTTTTACTAACTAAAGCTTTTCAGTTAATTAGAATTTAAACAATTTTTTATCTATATCACTATGTAGATGAAGAAATTCTACATATACACTTAGTCAATTATTTTCAGACACATTGATTCAGTAACTTAAATTTTTCAGTTGATAAAAATTAAAAAAAATTTTAATTTGCAGATAAAGAATTTCTACAT